GAAGAAGTCTGCTCCCGAGGCAGGGATTGAGCCTGAACTATATTACGGGAGATTAGGAACAATTCACTCGCAGTGATCGAAACGAATGCCAGGTGAACGTCCGCAGGGACAAGTCCAAGGCGAAGCCCGTGGCAGCGAGAGTGAAGGACCTCGGATTGAAGCCTCACATCATTATAATAGCGGTTCTACTACTCGAGCTCGCCAGGCTTCGCTTCCTGCCAAGAAGGAACAGGGGATGCCGATCGAAGAGGCGCCGGATTCTATTGCACAAAGAACATGTGCTTTAACTTTAACTGCTTGAGATTGAAAGGCCATCCGCAAAGGCGATGTGCCCCTGGATCGTTTGATTCAGGCCAAGATCAGAATTGCGATTTCGTTTGCAATCATCTATTTCATTTTGCAGGCCTCCGAAGCTGGTGCCGGAAGCAGCAAGGCCCGAATGAGTTTGATGTTCGTTGTTTCAACAGTCAACGTATCTCATTTTGGCAGGACAAGCGACATGGTGCTGGCCGCAGCAAGGCCCGAAAGCCGCCGGAAAAGCCCCAGACTTCCCCCCGACCTTGGCAGGCTGAGTTGGTGTCCACAGAGAACAAGGATGGGCAGTGACATTCCATTCTTTTGCAGCTTCGTTTCCTTCCCTCACACTTTGCTTTCGTTGATTGAATGGAGCAGCTGCCGAAGGCCCAAAAAAGATCATCGGCAGCTGGAAGCAGCAAGGCCCGAAAAACAATATTTGCTGCTTGGACCTTGCTTGGACATTCATTCAACCTGCTAGGACAAGCCGCCAGCAGATCGGGCGAAAAAGGCCAAGACAGACCAGGCCATCATAATATATGTCCCGGGTCCCAAGAACATTCATTTGTGTGGAGGACAGTCGTCGGCGACCGAGCCCGAGCCTAGTCCCGACGGACGCCTGCCCGGCCAAGTTGAGTGACGGGTCGCACACATTTCAGTCCGACAGAGCCCATGACGGCAGGTGCCTAGCCCGACGAGCCCAGCTCTGTGAGCGGGGTTTGGGTCGATCGGCCAGGGCCGAGAATTTGGAAA